TAATAATAATAATAATAATAATAATAATAATAATAATAATAATAATAATAATAATAATAGTAATAATAATAATATTAATATTAATATTAATAATAACAATAATAATAATAATAATAATAATATTAATAAGAGTAGCGGGAGGCTAGATAAGTAATTACAACTTAATGGCTCGAGTGAGTGATGAGATTAGACGTGAGATTTTCTTCAACCAATATTTTCAGCTTAAGGAGACCATAACAAGTTCTCTTCGTAAGATTGTAAGATCCAAAATTTCACGTAAAACTCTACAGGAATGTGAATTTTTCGTACGATTTATTGAAAATACCTCAAATCGCATGGTTTTGCACGTTTGAGATTGTATTACAGTGAAGGGTCATATTTGATTTATCCCCTCAACTGTTTAATCAGCAATTACGATGATGTATTCCAAACTTATCAGCTCTCCGTTATCACCACTGATGATATCACTATTATCAGTGCTATCCTCGCTTTCTTGTAATCCCTCTTGGCGCATATCTTACAGTATGAACCGATTGGATCAGATGTCTTCACGATCATTCATCGATTTGTCAACCGCAGAGGTCTATCACTTAGAATGTGAGAGGGGTTAATGTTGTGAGGTTCATTCTGAGAGTAATTATTCATGCTGTGATAATTGGACTGAGGAGAGGGCAATTATAAGATAACTTCAAATAGACTGATCGGACTTCAGCAACTTGATCCTTTCTGAGCAGATTAATTAGGTTCACACGTTTACAAAACGTGCAAACCTAATTAAAGAGACACAAACGACAGATCAAGAAGAGATATCGGCGGATTTAGAAATCATTGGGCAATATGGGATGGACAGTAGCCGAAAAAATTCTGTGTGATCATGTCAGACCAATCAATAATCGATAATCGAAGTTCGAATAGCATGAGGACAGTCGCAGATGATTGCGAACGCTATTGTCGCTAGCCGCACGGAAAGAAGGATGTCATGGAAGGATGAATGTGATTTCAGTGATATTCGTGATAACAGAGAGGCAGTGATTTGTAGTGAGTTGCAGTTGGATCAAATGATTAAATAAATGAGATAAATAAAGTCTAGCGATGATAATAAAGCGAAATCTGTTTGTGATAATTCGGAAATCAATTCAGCCAGTCAGAATTAGAGCTTTTAATGCAGTTTAACTCCTTTTGAGAGATTTATTTGCTTTGGATTGATTGTTATTATGGAATGCGTAATTATAAGATCGTTTTTTCGGGATCGCTTATCCAATTACTTCTCAGCTGCTCTCACCTCCTTGTTATCACTTCATGCAACCGTTTGGTCATAAGGTAGAACGTTGCCGTTCTCAGTGTTCCATCCATCCAGTGATCTATACTGTGGATCGCGGAAACGCTCGAATGAGAAATTCCAATTTTTACCAGTTGTCACTTTCCCGATGGGTTTATGGCGCCAATTGTCACTTTCCCGATGGGTTTATGGCGCCAATTGCCACTTTCCCGATGGGTTTATGGTGCCAATTGTCACTTTCCCGACTGATTTATGACAGCAATTATCACCTTCTCGACTGATTTATGGCGCCAATTGTCACTTTCCCGACTGATTTATGACACCAATTGTCACTTTCCCGACTGATTTATGGCACCAATTGCCATTTTCTCGACAGGTTTCTGGTACCAGTTGTCACTTTCCGACGGGTTTCTGGTACCAGTTGTTACTTTCCGACGGGTTTCTGGTACCAGTTGTCACTTTCCCGACTGGTTTATGGCGCCAATTGTCACTTTCCGACGGGTTTCTGGTACCACCTGCCACTATTTCAGGTACACCAATTGTTGACTGTGAACGTGAGTATATTCGTTTTTCGGTGCAAACCGCAAAGCCATTTCGAGGCAAAGTGTTCGTAAAAGGTGACTACAAAAAGGATTCGTGCTCACGTAATTATGCACGCGAAACTGCTCGAGAAACATCCGATTCGGGTTTGTCGAAAACTTTTCCACTGTTGAACTCAATCTCATACTTTTTCATCTCTCAAAAGACAGCTGTAAATCAGACCAAGCTGAATTTTCAGGGTACCGACGTGCTAGTGAACCATCATCATCGACTGGCGATAGCGATAGATCGTTGAAATGGCCAGATGAGGTCAGAGGTCACGACATTTTTGATGGGACAAAGCCGGCACGTCTAGAATCTTGTCCGCCTTGTCCCGTTTGTAGCAACGGCAACAGCAACGATGAGTTGACAATTGGTGGAATTTCAAGGCGATCAAGAAAAATAGGCGATCTCGGTGAGCACGATGATCACAGGTCCGAATCGACCGTCCAAACAACCCGTCCAAGTATTGATATTAAGCTGGACAGTTGTAACATCAAACGAGATCGTACCGTAAGTGCAGAAAAATTCTGAACTTTTATTCGAAAACTGCAAGAAAACTCAAAAAAAGCGTGGTTGATTTGAAAAATTTGGAAAAGTGTTGCGACAAATTCATTTGAGAACTATTGTACTGTTGCATTTTTTCATTTCACTCAAGGTTGAAGAGTTGAAAAATTATTTTTCATTCATTTGCGACAATTAGGAATAAATAATTCAGAATTCTCCGCCCGGAATCAGTGTGTCGCTAACTGTGGTCGTGAGTTTTCACGAGAATTTTGTGACAAAGGTGGATCGTGCCTATCGTCTTCAGTGTGCCTACGCTGAATTCGATAGAACTCTTGACACGAAAGTTGATGTCAGGTTGGTGCCCATTTCTCTTTCAGTCTCCATTCAATCGGCCGTGTAAATTCCAATTTTCAACCTTAATCTCTACACACTTATTACCTGGATTACCTGGATTGGTCAGGCTATCAAACGTTTGCAACGTTGTTGGCCACAATGTTCGCGTTTCCGTGCACATTGTTTTAGCCTCAATTCACGCCACCCCGCTGGCCAGGCGAGCAGGCCAACCGAACACANAATATCAGTCCGATAAATAATAATGACTCTAATAGAACAAATATTCCACCAATCGCTCACAGCGATTGACAAAACAACCACTCGATGTCCAAGTAACAATAAAGTAACCCTACACACTTATAATCGACCTAATTGAATCCATCTGAAGAGATGGAAGTTATGGATGAAATCCGTAAAACTTTAATGTTGCTCTCGAAAAATTCGTTTAAAATCGAAATTTGACAGTTAGATCAGTAAGTTGACTACGGCAACGGCTTAAACCAATACCAGCTTAAACCAGTACGAGCTTAAGCAGATCAAAGTGATATTTCAGTATGCCACAACCTACTGATCTGCTGTCTACGGCCGACAGCCCGCTTTGTGAGTATCACATTAAAGGTGCGACCGGTGAAACGATTCAAAATGTTCGAATTGGAGATACGATCGAACATCAATGGACGTGTGGAAGTGCTTCTGCTTCGAATGGTTATTTCGATAGGCTTATCCTCTTGTTTTGTTCTCATACACCAATCGGTTACTTGGATGTGAATACAGTCCAGTGATTCCCGTATAAACGGGGAAATTTCTCCTTGATCCCGGGGATGGCGGGAGGGGGGGGGGGGGGGGGGGGAAGNGATGTTTTCATAAAATTTTTCACGGTTTTCATCAAAATGTTTTTCATAAAGTTTTCCACAGAATTTACCTTTTTTTTCGTTGGAATTATTTCAAAAAACTTTTCACAGAAAAAAAATTTTTCAAAATTTCAAAAAATTTCCAAGATTATCGTGTATTTACTGAAATTTTGGCAGTGGCTTCTTTCCAGTTTGAACTTCAGAGTAATTCCAGTTTGAATTTCAGAGTAATTCCATTTTGAATTTCAATAATTCGGATTAGTTTCATGACCGATCATCTCTTCAAATTTTCATACACCCTTTCCCCTGTATCCATCTCTTCACATGCGATTTCGTCATATCAAAATTGCATAAAGTACTAAATTGTACGAGTTAATCCTGTCTGCTATCACCAATATCACTCAAATCGCATTCTTCCTTCCTTGACATCCTCCTTTCCACCTAGATAACTATAATAGCGTTTGGAATGATCCGATGTCTTCATGAAAACCTAACTTCGATTATTGATTGATTGATGTGGCGATCACACAGAATGTTTTGGGCTGCTTATACTGAATTGAATTTGCTGACTAAATAAATAAATAATCAATAAATAAATAAACAAATAAATAAAAAAATAAATAAATAATAAATAAATAAACAAACAAACAAACAGATAAATAAATAAACAAATAAATAAATAAATAATTAAGTAAATAAATAAATAAATCAAAGGTTTCGTGATATTTCAGCTATGTACTCAATGCTGGTGAGCAATTGCTATGCGGAAGGAGGCGGTGGTGAGCATCGTCGTGAGCTGGTTATTGATACGAAAGGGTAAATTATTTTGCACACAAAAAATTTGATCCGACTGGTTAATCCCTTCATAATGCTTCAACTATTGTATCACCCGTTCATTTGATCAATCGTATTTCTGGACTGCATACATTTCCGTTCCATCCCTTTCCGCTGTTCTCATCTTTAGAATTGCTTTCATTACCTCAACTTCTACCACCAGCACCACTGAGGTTTTGACACATCGCAGGATTTGAAAATCTTCGATTCTATCTATTGAATACAATTTTTTCAATGTAGAATTATTTCTAGAATTTAGAACGTGAAATTCATCATCAATACAATTCTCCAACGGATTCGTGGAACTCTTCATGAAAAATGGAATATTTTGTATAGATCAGAGAATATTACAAGATCTATTGATGTTCAAAGATGATCTTTTTTTTTTGTTTTCAGGTGTTCGTTAGATGAGTTCGTACTTCCAACGCCAGTTTATGACCTCAATGATGGTCGCTTGACAGCGAAGTCGAAATCGCTGGTTTTCAAGTTTCCCGATTTTGCAGATATCGCTTTTCAGTGCGATATCCTCGTGTGTCTTCGTGGTGAATCTGACTGCGACCGGATCACGGTATGGAAGGCTTACGCTTAGACTTAATTCGTGATTTTGAGTTCGTTTGTCTGGCTCATACTATGTAATAATAAAAATAATACTAACAATAATAGCAATAATAATATCAATAATGTATTAATAATAATAACAATAATAATAATAATTCAGCCGCCAAAATGTGGCACCAATCGAGATCGCCGCGCTGCTGAATCTGTATCGAATAAATCTCTGAGCCTCGATTCTTGGAGAGAGCAGCATCAGCCGACTTGGAGATTGCATACAGAATCGTTGAATGTTCTCGATATCGATGAGATAATCGATGACGAAGGTANCAATAATAATAAATTACAATAATAATGATAATAAAATATGATAATTTTATGTGATAATATTTTCACCCGAATCGATTTGTGTTAGTCTTGAAAAAATATAAATTTAGTTCGATGCTTTTCAGAGCTGTCCAATTTGAACGATCTGAATGCTGAAAGAAGGCAAGCGATTCGATCGGTCAAATCTGGATTTCGATCTCCATCTTCTCGGCAAACAGACGGATTCTCTGCGTTTGTGAAACAAAAATATGGGTCAAAATTCAGCGATATCGATGAGCAATATTGGCCTTTTTGTGTTTCATTATTGCACTTCACTCTTTTAATAGCTGTTTCCACAGCTCTCTTAACGATTTCGTTGACTGTCACTGTGCTGATTTTTGCAAAACGCATTCCTGAACATTTTCATAATTTCACCAAAAATTAGCATTTTTGATGAATTATGCTCAAGGGTCTCGTGAAAACTACTTAGAAACAGGTCGAATCGGGGCTGGATATTATTTTATGATGCGTAAAGTTTTATTTCGACAGATAAATGCCACCCACCACTCACCGTTCCGGCCAGCCAGCTAATCAGCCTTGCTCTCTCCTCTTATTGTCAGTCGATGCAGTTTCTGATCTTTCAAGATGTCATTTCCTCTGAATTTCGCTTTCAATTTACAATCACTATCAATTTCTCCGCTCTCCGTTCGTGTTTTATCCGTTGCACTGTTGATTTTAAAGGACATTAAGGCACAAAAATGCTCAATTCATAACGGCTTCTTCCTCACTTCACATACCTCCATTCACCCACATAAATTGGATTGCGATCACCTCAACGAACTGATCACTTTGGAATATTCATTCGCCGCATTTATTGATTTCCCACGCGATTTTATTCTACTTCCAAACCATAATTCTGATCGATGTTCACAGTTTATTGTGCTACGTTTCAGCTGGTAATTAGTAAAATCATATTTTAAAGTTTATGTTCGGAAAAACACCGAAAATTTGTCTAGAACTGAAATTTGCCCTCCCCCCCCCCATCCTTCCAGTCGGCCTCAAACCCGCTATATCACACGAAGTTAGTATTGTTATGATTGTTTGTAATAGTGTTGGTATCTATATCATTACTATTATCATTTTATCATGATCTCTGCTGTTATTAGGCTCATAATTATAAGTGAATTTATAGGTCACATTTCAAAAATCATCACTGTTGCTGATATCGCGTAGTTTTTGAACGTATTGATTCGTGAACTTATCATCAATGCTGTTATTTCATAACCCATAGCTCAATAACACAAGTTTGGGATAAATTAGCGATTGTACCAAATGTTTTTATCGTTTGAGAAGCACAAATGTGGAGTATAAAGAGCTGCATAAATCGGCAGGTTAACGCAAAATGATATTGGTTAGCCTCAGAGTCTATCGTTCAAGCTGGCCGTTCCATTTCGATTAGGCCAAGTGCTGTTTGGCGATTTGTTCTAACATCCAGTTGCACACCTCATATAATACTCCATAAGATTAAGGTCACCCCAGCTAGAATGCGAAATTTTTCGATTGATTCGGCAACGAGAAGTTTCCCACTGCTGGCTGTTCTTAGTCGTCCAAACTGATGCGTCGCATTCTGCTGGAACACGTACGGTATCCCAGCGGCAATATCTGCAATCCAATGTTTATCTCCAATTTATTACTGCATATCTGCATCCACTATGTGGACTCTTATTCTGAGTAGTGACAGACGAACGGGCATAACTCAATACTAACTTAGCTCACTATCATGGCATGCCGTGGAATTACCGTTTTTATGAATCCGTTTACGTTATCAGCACTTGGGCTGTGCATCTGTTCATTTGCATATTGCCTATGTGATCATTGCACAAATATTTCGCCTCAAAAAA